CTGTGGCTAAAACAGTGTTGGTAGTGTAAGGCTAAAACATGAAGAGAAAGAATGTCACTCTGATTTTAAAAAAGAGAATAAGGCCCTCCCTGGTGGCGCAGCGGGTTACAGCGCAGCACTGAGAAGCTAAAGCCACTTCAGCACGAGTTCAATCCCCGCCTGCCCCGGAGGTGACCACAGGGAGCGGCAGATCTCTCCTGACCCGCCCGCTGCTCCCCTCAGCAGTGGACTTCATCGATCTGCCTGTTCTGCTCCCCATTCTGTCCCTGGTGAATCCTCTCACCACCCTGCACCGCTGGCCTGTACCCCAGTTCTGTATACACAAATAAATTTTTAAAAAAGTGAAATAGAAACCAAGAAGCATGGGAAGAATGCTTGTCAGCATTGTCTGACCCAGACCTCACTGCCAAAGTCATGCTGAGGTTTACGTGAAACTGTAATTAATGGCAGTTTGGTTGACCCCAACTATCACTTTAGAGGCTCACACATCGATGGTTTCCATGGCAATCTTCTCCCTGGGAGATGTCAGAGATGATCTAATTTTTTGGTCCCTGAGATGTGGCAACCTGACGCTTTAGTGCCTTCCACTGGGGTTGAGGCCCGCTTTGTCCAGTCATCTCAATTTATTTCCGTGCTTTGAAACGTGTGTGCACCGTCTTACCTCTCTGGAATGCAGAGAACCACCCAGCACTTCATTTACCTTCTCTAGTGAGAGAAAGTGCGTGCGTGCTCCATCTCCTCCCCGCCTGCTCACTGAGCCCAGGCAGCAATCGGAGGTTAAAGAACTCACAAATGCTCTTCCATCTTGGTTTCTTCCCACAACGTTTAAATCTGTGGTACCTGAGCGCCTGCCGTAAAGCAGCCACGTTCTGTAAACACAGATGGGGTCCGTGCACCCGTGGCTCGTTCTGACCTCGCGGGCGTTTCCCTCAGGTGATGATGGTTCTGTGCCGTTGCGCGTGGGAGCCAGGGGTGCGCTTCGCTGTCCCCGCGTTGCTCACCGGACGCTGTGGGTTTACCCTGGGCAGGAGAAGTGTCTCGTTCCGCTTCTGAAGTCGGGCCGAGAGCCAGGGGCCTTTCGGTCTCGCTGGCCTTCCTGGGCAGCCCAACAGCTGACCCACCGTGGGGAAACCTTGGGCTAAATCGCTGGGTGGCTTCAGACCGTGAACTGTGCTGATGATCAAACAGTGTAGACAGTTCCACTCAGTCTTGCAGTGGATTCTGGGTTCAGAACCCAAAGGGCATCTTGAAATGCCCTCCACACTTGGGCCTAATGAGTGTTTGCCAACATGTAGGTCCTGGATACTTCAGCACCCCAGAACCGGCTCAACCCTCCCGCCCCCTGGGGTGCTAGCAGAAGGGGGTGCGTGTGACGATGAGCTTGTGGGTGCTGGGGGCCGTGCGTTTCCCAGATGCTGGTAGCGGGGGGGCAGGCAGGGGTGGGGCACACCCTTGCAATGAAATGATCTGAAGTCTATCAAAATGTTTCCAGCTCTGCTAGCTGGAATAAAGTAAAATGGGTTCGCCTCAGGGAGTGAGCCCTGGAGGACAGGCAGGCTTAAGTTACCAATAAAGCCATGAAAGTAGGGAGAACACTGGGAAGCGAGAGGCGGGGCTGTGGTTCTTTGGGGGAACAAGAGCGGAGTGAGCTCATCCCGGTGGGGAGCGAGAGCTGAGCAGCCCGAAGGAACCTCGTGGATGGTGCTTGACGCTGGGCCTCCTTGTCTCCCTCCAGCCAGCGCCGACTTCCCGTATAACCCCGGACAAGGTCAAGCCATCAGAAATGGAGTGAACAGGAACTCGGCTATCATTGGAGGTGGGTGCACTCCTGGGGTTGCTCCCCTGGGGACCCCAATAATTTTCAATGAAGTCACAGGCTGGGGAAAACAATGGGAGGCAAATACGACCTTGACATGAAATACATCAACTTTTGCTCTATTCACTCGTCCGTTTAGCTATGATGAGATGGTAAAGTAGAAGTGTGCAGAAACTGCTGGCTGGTATAAAAGGAAAGTGGGGTGGGGGGCCATCAGTATCGAGGCATTGCTCATTCTCATCCTCTCCTCTCAAAATGGCCGGATGCCTCAGCACAAAATGGGGGCATTATACCAGATGTAGGGTTCTTCATAAAAATGATCAGGAACAGGCCAGAGTGTCCCCTCACCCAGACAGCTGCAGAGTGACTGTCCTGCCTGGCTCCCCAGGGACCACCTGAGCCCGCTGGGCCCTCCTCTCTCCCCGTGTCTGCTGTCGGTTTCATAAACACATCTTGTGCCTCACTGAGTAGCTCATGTTGCAAACATAACAAGGATTTTAAGCAGCACTAGCCAGCGTGGCCTAGCCGGGATGTTGCTTTTCCCCAGGAAGAAAGTAGACCCTTGTAAGCCAGGTGTAGGCAGGTAAGCAAAGTCAGTAGTGCAGAATGGTGCTTAAGTTGTTTCCAGCATTCTGGTTTGATCTTCATGCTTGTGTGTGGGTAAGATCACTGAGGTCTAGGAGGCAGTTGGCTAATTAGAAGGGATCAGTGACTTCTGACTAATGCCTCAGCTCACCCACATGTCAGTCAAGACCTTGAGCACTCATCCACAGAGAGCTCTGTTGCCCGTGGTCCTGCCCCCACCAGCCACGGCCACCTCTGACCTGCCTTTGTTCGAGTTTACTGTCACTTTTTACAGGGCGCATATGAATGGAATCATATGCAACCTTCTGTACTTTTCTCACTCATACGGTTGAGAGGATCATATGGTTTTTCTCCTTTACTTTCTTGACATGGTAATTATATTCCTTTTTTTTTTTTAATGTTAAATTAGTGTTGTATTCCTACTCATGCCTCTTTATAACCTTTTTTGCATATTGCTGACTTTGATTTCCTAAAATTTATTGCTGAAAAATGTTGGCCCATAGTTTCCTTCCTTATAAGATCTGGCTTTAGTGCCCAGATAATGCTGGCTCATAAGATGAGTTAAATAGTATTTCTTGCTCCTAGAGCTTAAGATGTGTAGGGTTGGTATTTCCTTAGATCAAGAGTATTGAGTGTTGTTCAGGTCCTCTAGAGTCTTGCTGATTTTCTATTTACCTGTACTATTCATTATTGAGAGAATAGTGTTAGTCTATTAACACAAGCATGACTGTATACAAGAATAATTGTGAATGGGTCTCATTCTTTCTATCCATTTTTGCTTCATTGATTTTGAAGCTGTTAGGTAGATATGTGATTTGCTTTTTGGAATCATTATTTATACATATTTAGCGCCATTGTAATCCTCTCTCCAGAAATTGCCTTGATTCAGAACACTAAGAAAAAGTGAAGGGTCTGTTTTGTTGTTGTTGTTGTTTTCCTTTCCTCAGCTATCACAGTTCTTTGCCCTGTTGTCCAATGTTTAAAAACAACTGTTTCACCCATCTTGCCCGGTATTTTCACTCTGAAAATACTGAAAGACAAGTTGCTCCTATTCTTTCTACCACCCCTCCATGACCATGAAAAGGAAAATTTACGAGTTTTGTGTTTTATAAGGGAGGGAGTAATATTTGAGGGAAACTTGGTGAAATGGGGGAAAGTGTTGGGGGACGGTAAGATGTGTCTGACCTCTAGTTGTCCTGCCCCCAGGGGTCATCGCCGTGGTGATTTTCACCATCCTCTGCACCTTGGTCTTCCTCATCCGCTACATGTTCCGTCACAAGGGCACCTACCACACCAACGAAGCTAAGGGGGCCGAGTCAGCAGAGAGCGCAGACGCCGCCATCATGAACAACGACCCCAACTTCACAGAGACCATTGACGAGAGCAAAAAGGAGTGGCTTATCTGAGGGATGGCTATGTGGCTCTGGGACGGGGAGGGGAGGCCCGGGGAGGAGGGAAAGGGACAAAAGAACCCTGCTTCATACTCCCGAGCAACACCCTTAAAATATCAGCACAAGCTGGGGGAGGCGAACAAAACACTCCGAGACTGATCACCGCAAATACTTTTTAATATTTCTTTATAGCTGAGTTTCCCCTTCTGTATCAAAACAAAATAATACAGAAAATGCTTTTAGAGTTTAAGCAATGGTTGAAATTTGTAGGTAATATCTGTCTTATTTTGTGTGTATTTAGAGGTATTCTAAAAACCCATGGTAACAGGGCAAGTTTTCTACATTTTTAAGAGCCCTTAGAATGTGGATATTTTTTTTTTCTTGAGAAAAGCTGACGCACATACATATGACCTCCAGCATTCTCTTCCTTTTGCTTAGAGTCAACTTTTAATGGGCTATTGTAGTATCTAGTTCGTGTTCATATAATACTTCTTTTTGTGTCCTGTAAGTGGGAAAGAAGAGGGTAAAGAGAATCTACTATCTGCCAGTTTTCAGAGACCCCAGTCTATGCCAGTGGTCTGAGTTTCCTCCTTAGCAGTGGAAAGAGGAAAAGGGTGGGGCATCATTTATGAGACAACTGTCTACACAACAGAGGGCCACACTACCAACCAGGGGAAGTAGCTTCCTGTGGGAGCTTTACTGCGAGATTAGAGCTTTCCGTGAATGTAGTCTCATGCCTGGTCCCTCTCTGTCACTGTGAGCTAAGTACCACGGTGACAAGCTGCTAGAAGACTTCTGTCTGTGACTGCTGGCTTAGATTCTGTGTGTGTGAGCTCCCCAGTGAACATGAGAGCTAACTACTCCTTGTTACTTCCATAGTTATCGTAAGAGTGTGGCTACTTCCAGTGAATATGTAAATTCAGTTGGTCTCCTTTTGCTTTCAAACTCCTTTTCAAGCCCCTGTCCACAATCCTAGCAGTGTCCTCTGAATGGACATGCCACAATAAAGCCAAGTTACGCCTGCTGTTATCATCGCCGTTACTCTGGAGTCAAAGGGAAAACACTGCCATGTTTTAAGTCTTCTCCACGTGCTGGTTCATCCCCCAACAGACTGGCTGCCATGATTCAGGGGTCTTCTGTGGCAGCACATTGGAACCTCAGGTTCACGGCACAGCTGGGGACTGTTGCTTCCCAGAGAACAGACGTGTCTAGTCAATCACACTCTTGACCTTGACCAACTAGTCCAACAAGTAGCTCCCTAATTTTATCTGATGAAACAGACTTGGCGTAAACTAATCAGACAGAGCCTTTATGGGAGCCTCCAAAATAATCAGTTCACTCAGTTCATTTACTTCTAAAAAGATGACACAAACGTTATTTCTCGTAACTACCATTTCAGATCATTGTGGTTCAGGCTCTTCTACTTAATGAGCACTTTTAGGAAAAAACTTTACGTCAGCATGTGGAGGCATTAACCATAACTGCTTTCTTCCTTCTCCTGGAAAGGAGGTAAGATGAGGTTTGAAATGTATTGGTGCCAGTCTGCTGATGGCTGCCCCAATACAATGGAAACTGGCTCGGGTGTTAGGGTTATGGATACGCTGTCAGGATATGCTGTGCGGACAACTTCCCGGGATCTCAATTCCTCGAATAGTGGAAAGTGTTACCAGAGCCGCCAACGTGCTCTTCACCGGGACGCACACGTGCCGCAGGAGTGATGCCCTTACGCAAGGCGAGGGAGTCCTTTGGCTGTCACTTGGTTGCTGACCTCAGACACCATTAGTTAGTCTTGACCGTTTTTAAAACGGTCTTGATCATTCTCCATAAGGCACATTTAAAGGGCAAAGTATTAAAGATTACTAAATAGCAGAACAATGCAACATTTACAACTGACACGCTGGAAGACCAAGGGTTTGAGGAGCCAGGATGACTGCCCAGAGGGTTCTTTCATGTACTGTGAAGTTGAAAAGGCTGATCTCGAGCATTCTGTGTTAGACATGTTTCTTGTTCTTCTAAACCTCCTTTGTGTTAGTACTTTGGCTCTTCTCTACGATGCCAGATGGACACTTACTTCCTGCATCTCCCACAATAGCTTGTTTCTTTACCCACAGTCTCAGCACTTTCCTTCCAAAATGACTAGGGGATTAAAAGAATCAAAAACCTCTCCTGATACTTAAGTGTTCTGACTATTTCTCTGCCCTTCTTTGCTCTTTTCCACCACCAAAGGCAAAAAAAAGAACTTCTCTTGCCCAAGAATGACTGCAGGGATCAGGGGTGTCTCCACCCTACGAGGGGCCACAGGCAGCCCGCAGCCAGGACGCAGAAGACAGGGAAGGTGTTAGTTGCTGTGGGGCAGGGAAGGTGGCGGGGTCTGGAAATCCTGGCTTGTTTTTGGGATTGTGATCTCTCACCAAAATTTGCAAGGGTCGTTGTGCAGCCCCTATCCAGGACATTCTGTGGGAAATAATTTGCTCAGGTGAAGTTCAGAAGCAAGCTCTCGCCACCCCCGCCCTGAAGCTCAGTACAGTGCACTCCCCCCCCCACTCCCCCCCCCCCCACCCCCCGCAATCAGACCCAAGCTGGGCTCCCTTTGTCAGTCAAGGCCCAAAAACCCAGCATCCGGCATCCGATATCCCGATGCAGATCAGTCCAGCACAAGCGCATCAGAGTCACCTCTTGGAGTCACGAGAAAATACCAACAAACCCAACTTTTCTTGAGAGGCCGTTCTAAGCTTCCAGGAAGACGCGGTGACTGGTGGTGGGCTGCTTGGCCAGAAGTCGCCTCTGCAGAGACAAGAGGCTGGGAAGGGAGACTTGGCATGATGCCAGCTTGGCACCAGGCAGACCCTGCAAACCTCTGCCTGGAGTCGTGTTAACCTGCCTAGGAGGTGTGAACGGTAATGACGCGATGCTCGGCCTCCTTGGTACCTGGAGATCATTTCCTGGGGGCCTTCAACCAACTCCTCAAAGGGGCACTCGAGACATGGAGGCTTTGGTGGGACTAACGTGAGTGGGGTGCAGGTGTTAGAACAAGGCCCCTTGCCCCACGTTTGATAGAGGAGCGTCTTTGGCGCGCAGGAGCTGGAATCCTGAGGCACAGGAAAAAGGAATTGGCTTCATCCGAAGAGAGATTTGAAGGAGATGAGTGAGCATCGGTGGACGCCGGGCTCAGCCGTGGGCCAGACGCGCCCTCGGCGATCCTCGGGCCCAAGCGAACAGCCCCCAATATGAACTGAGTCCACGTAGCGTCAGGAAGAAACATCCTCTGTCCGCGCCTGGCACTGGGCCTCCCAAGTGTTGGTTGTCTGCCTCTCCCTGTCCTTGGGGTGCAAACGTTCTCATAGTCCCAACGCAGCTCAGGCCACCAAAAGACCGACAGCTGGTGAGCGCCTCGCTGATTCTTTCCACCCTCCCGCCAAGTAGTTCTCAGAAAGCAGTTACCAGGGGAGTTCCAGGGAGCTGGCCCCGCAGAGACCCCGACCCCAAAACAGGCGAGAAACCACAGCCACGCACCTGGCTATTTGAGCCAAAAACCGAGGGGAGGGGGGCATTTGTTTAATGATGTTTGGGGGACATGGACCCTGAGAGCCCGCTGGGCTCTGTGACCTCTGCTGTTCCTGAACCCCTGTTCCTGTAGGCCTCACCTAAAGCGGTTTCACCTCCCTCATGAGAGGGAGACAGGAGCCTCCGGTTCTTGGGGGCAGGTGCTTTGAAATGAAAGGCCAAAGTTGGCCCTGGGACACACACCTATGTCCAGAATGCAGGGACTCGTGGGATGTTGTTCCGAGCTGCTGAGCTACTAGACGGCCAGGGAGCAAACCCGCCCCCACGGGAGACCGGCACGCTCCGGAGGCCGTGGTCCCCAGGGGTGTGGCGAGCAGCTCCTGCGTGGCCCCGGGGCCGGAAGGGCTTCTTAGTTAAGGTGACCTGGAAACAGGAGCCGTCCCCTCGCGGGGGGCCCTGGGCCTGCACACTCCATCTACATGGTAACGCTGGGCACTTCCTGCAGAGCTTTCTGGGCACCCGCAGGACACAAAACTCATCCTGACCAGGGAACCCTGTGGAAAGGCCCATCTCTCCCGCTGGCAGAGGCCGGCCAGTGGACGCACGGGGGTGGACAGCCTGTGCATTCACAAGTTTACTTTCCAGATGAAAGCGTGCTTTGAGACAGGTCTGCCGAGATGGCGCGCTGCTGCCTGGCCTCGGCCCACCCACAGCGAAGCTGGGCTCTGGGGCACCCGCAGACCCGGGGCTCCCTCTCACTGGGCCAAGAAGCAGTCCTCAACGATACTCACTCTAAGTTCTGTTTGGTCCAGTTTTTGAAATTTTTTCAGTGAGCATGGTGACTGCAGAGGTTAGCGTCGTGAACAGCTGGGCTAACTTTCTCTCTGTCAAGTCGATTAAGATTCCATCCCTGTGAAATAACACAAAATTTCACTCTCTAAAAGCAACAGCATGTAAACTAGAATGAAAGAAGGAAATTATGTATGTATGCTTACTATTCTTTGTGAATGTCTTTCCTTTAACTAAAGTTATATTAGAAACCAGATTGATAAATAAAAAATCCAAACTAGTTTTAATTATCCTAAAAGCGAGTCTTCGTGTTTTGTTCCACTTGATTCTCTCGGAAGCAGGAGTTCTGCCCTCAGCAGAAGAAATCCCAAGAGCCGCAGCCCACAGCTCTCGGGGGTATTCTCTTTCCCGAGACAGGGGAGCTCATCAATGTTGGGGTGACCAAGTGCGGAGATAACATTTACTGCGGGACTGGGTGAGGGTGGTAATAAACTGGGCCTCGTATCCAAGGGTGATAATTAACTGGGCCTCGCATCCGGGAGATACCGGGGGACAAACTGGGCCTGGCATAGGGGGCGCAGCGACGAGTCACCCCTTTGGAATGTGAACCTAGAATCTGTATGAGACCCTTTTCCCCGGCAGGGCAGCGCTGGCAGTGGCTGCGGACCCCACCCCAGGGGCCCCGGGAGCAGTCAACTCTGCTTGCTCGGCCTTTCTGCCTCCCGTCTTTCTTCCTTGTGGACGGTCACAGACGTCGGGACAAAACACCCAGGCACAGAGTCTTCCAGATACATCCGCGGTCACCAGGCCTCGCCTCTCCCTGCTGGGCTTAACGGATACTGGCTTGGCGCTTTGGATTCTCACACACATCGTGATGAAATGCAGTAGGGCCGAGAGAGGTCCAGAACCCACTCGGAGCCACTGACCTGGACGGTGACCCGTGGCTCCCAGTCAGGGGAGCAGGTGACAGGTTGCAACTCACTCGAGGTGCAACCCAGCGCCATCTTCCCGGGTCACGACGGGCCCGCTGCAGCCTTCCCAAACCCGGGGACGCCATCTCCTTTTACGGGATTCTCGGTAAAGCCTTTAAACGCACGAGACATAAGTGGGACTCCCACACGCCTCGCCTCAGTTCTGCGCCATCCCCAGGCTAGTGATGGCCTCTGGTCTCTGTAGAAATGCCCTCAGGTCCTCTGGGGGGGGGGCGGGTTCTGCTTTGCAAAGGTGGCCCGACAGGGGCAGAGAGCCTGAGACAAACCCCTTGAGGAAGAACAGCAGGTGTGAGCGACTAGAAAGAGCGGGTGTTTAGAGGAGGAGCCCCGAGTTCAGGCCTAAAGTCCCAGAGAGGAGCTTGCAGGCGCCACTCGCCCCTCCTGGTCCCACTGACCGTCAGCCTGAGGTGCGTGGTTCCCCGCGGGGCTGCTGCGACTGTGTTGGGCTCGTGGATGTATTTGTGACCTCCCGGGGAGGTCTTAGGGAGCAAAGGGCGGAAGGTGTGGGGAAGAGGTTCCTGGGAAGAAAGATCTCCTTCGCCTCGGCAGTCAAGACGCCTTGTCAGTCAAGACGCTGCAGCGACTTCCCAAACACCCAGAGGCACCTGTCGTTCGAGGGCTCGTGTCCCCAAGTGTCCCCAAGTGCAAGGTGACGTGAGTTGTGGTTAGTACTCGCCTTCTCTTTGGTCACTGGAACCTATGACTTCAGTGACTCCTGCGCTCAATAACCTCCAAACCTAGAGAATCCTGACCCCAGAACCGCTTCCCAGACACCCCGACCTCCTGATGGAGCTGAAACACAGCCACAGCAGTTTGAGCATGACGAAAGCAAGTTTCCTTTCTGATCACACTTCTGCGATCTTCCTTGGGCCACTTCACCCTCAGGGCTTGGGAGGGAAAAGCTCTTGGCACAGAGAAGGAAGAAACGCCAGTGACCAACCTTCATCAGAGGAACTCTCATGAGTCTAAAGCATGAGAAACTTTGTCATTTCTTCTAGAAGTAGGTTCCCAAAACATATAGAATATAAACTTAAAATGCGACAGGTGGTGGAGCAGTGGGGGAAGGCCATGATGAAAGAAGGAATTTTTGTGTTCACAAATAAAAAGGAGGGGATGAGATTCCCAGTCCAGGAGAGAAGCCCCGAGCGAGCATGGGGCTCAAGGGCAAGCTTCTCAGCCATGAGCGACAGGAAGAAGCGCGGAGCTGTTCCCCCGACAGACATGTTGGGGAGCAGGGGCCCACAGACTCCAAAAGCCAGAGAGGCACCTCTCAGGACAAATACATTAAAACCAGCTCGTGGGGGAGCAGCAGAAACCACAGAGCCCGGGATTAGCTTCCCCAAAGGACCAAGGTTACTTCAGTCATGACTCCACCACTGGATTTTTAAAGGAAGCCCAGTGTAAGGGACCACGCCATTGTGTGAATATTGATATTCATGAAGCGCCTCCGAGGTGCCTGGTCCAGCCTAGACTCTGGGACTCGCTGGAGAACAAAGCCAGACACATCCCGCTTGCACGAAACTTGGGTTCCAGGGCCCATTAAGGTAGCAAGCAAATGAAACTATGCAGGGGAACAATTCCTAAGCAGGGGACTGAAAGAAGGTGGTGTGACCCCCAAGTGGTAGTGGCTTTCGATAATGAAGACGCTGCTGGGGGTGTCCTCGGACGCTCGGGGAGTATCAGCCAAGAGTTGCAGGCTGGTGTTGGAGAATCAGTTCCGTCCAGTGAGGCTGACGATGCTGTTAGAAGTCACAGGCCAGAGCTGTGTGGCAGCCCTCATCTTCTACCTTACAAATACAGTAAGTTGAGGGCGGGTGTGGGGGGAGACGAGATTCACAAAGCAATTGGATTTACTGAAATTAAAAAGCTGCACACCGGA